AATGTTTATAATTTTCATTTAATTGAAATATTGAATTCATTAAGTATATGCCAATTTCAATATAAAAGCATACTTACCGGGCGTAGGGGTTACCGTGATCACGAAGGCGGTTCCCTCGGGGCAAAGCTTGACCATTGCACATTCGGTTGAGTAGAACCCTGCGATTATTCCTAATGTGAATAACTCGTGCGTGGAATTTTTGGGTGTCGGGATGGCGTACGCGCCGACCCGGTTAAAGAATACATTCAGATATAATATTTAGGATAATATGTATATCGAATGCAATATAAATGATTGCAATCATTTATTAGAATTGCTTTTTTACATTGACATTAGCTGTATTGAGTGAGAAAAGAATAATGCAAAAAACTTTTAAATTGTTTAACTAATTTTTATATTAACTTTATTAACTTTATTTAATAATTAATAAATAAATAATATTTAAAAAGTATTGAACCAAAATATTTATGTCAATATAAAAAATAATATTAAATTATTATTTTATATAAAAATTGTAATATGAATCAAATGGTCCACAAATGGTCAACTAGCCTTCAGAATTTATTTCTAATCAAACAGCAGAGTTAAATACTAATAAAAATTAGTTTATATAATATGTGACAAATAATTATTTAGATTTTAGTCACAATTACCATCACGGTTGTGTTAACGAAAAAAAAAATGTTTACAATTAAAATATTTACAATTTTCATTAAGTTAAAATATTGAATTGTGATTGTGTGAGAGGAAAAAAATTTTTACCATTGAAATGTTTATAATTTTCATTTAATTGAAATATTGAATTCATTAAGTATATGCCAATTTCAATATAAAAGCATACTTACCTGGCGTAGGGGTTACCGTGATCACGAAGGCGGTTCCCTCGGGGCAAAGCTTGACCATTGCACATTCGGTTGAGTAGAACCCTGCGATTATTCCTAATGTGAATAACTCGTGCGTGGAATTTTTGGGTGTCGGGATGGCGTACGCGCCGACCCGGTTAAAGAATACATTCAGATATAATATTTAGGATAATATGTATATCGAATGCAATATAAATGATTGCAATCATTTATTAGAATTGCTTTTTTACATTGACATTAGCTGTATTGAGTGAGAAAAGAATAATGCAAAAAACTTTTAAATTGTTTAACTAATTTTTATATTAACTTTATTAACTTTATTTAATAATTAATAAATAAATAATATTTAAAAAGTATTGAACCAAAATATTTATGTCAATATAAAAAATAATATTAAATTATTATTTTATATAAAAATTGTAATATGAATCAAATGGTCCACAAATGGTCAACTAGCCTTCAGAATTTATTTCTAATCAAACAGCAGAGTTAAATACTAATAAAAATTAGTTTATATAATATGTGACAAATAATTATTTAGATTTTAGTCACAATTACCATCACGGTTGTGTTAACGAAAAAAAAAATGTTTACAATTAAAATATTTACAATTTTGATTAAGTTAAAATATTGAATTGTGATTGTGTGAGAGGAAAAAAATTTTTTAATTTTCATTTAATTGAAATTATGAATTCATTAAGTATATGCCAATTTCAATATAAAAGCATACTTACCTGGCGTAGGGGTTACCGTGATCACGAAGGCGGTTCCCTCGGGGCAAAGCTTGACCATTGCACATTCGGTTGAGTAGAACCCTGCGATTATTCCTAATGTGAATAACTCGTGCGTGGAATTTTTGGGTGTCGGGATGGCGTACGCGCCGACCCGGTTAAAGAATACATTCAGATATAATATTTAGGATAATATGTATATCGAATGCAATATAAATGATTGCAATCATTTATTAGAATTGCTTTTTTACATTGACATTAGCTGTATTGAGTGAGAAAAGAATAATGCAAAAAACTTTTAAATTGTTTAAATAATTTTTATATTAACTTCTTTATTTAATAATTAATAAATAAATAATATTTAAAAAGTATTGAACCAAAATATTTATGTCGATATAAGAAATAATATTAAATTATTATTTTATATAAAAATTGTAATATGAATCAAATGGTCCACTCAACTAGCCTTCAGAATTTATTTCTAATCAAACAGCAGAGTTAAATACTAATAAAAATTAATTTATATAATATGTGACAAATAATTATTTAGATTTTAGTCACAATTACCATCACGGTTGTGTTAACGAAAAAAAAAAATGTTTACAATTAAAATATTTACAATTTTCATTAAGTTAAAATATTGAATTGTGATTGTGTGAGAGGAAAAAAATTTTTACCATTGAAATGTTTATAATTTTCATTAAATTGAAATATTGAATTCATTAAGTATATTCCAATTTCAATATAAAAGCATACTTACCTGGCGTAGGGGTTACCGTGATCACGAAGGCGGTTCCCTCGGGGCAAAGCTTGACCATTGCACATTCGGTTGAGTAGAACCCTGCGATTATTCCTAATGTGAATAACTCGTGCGTGGAATTTTTGGGTGTCGGGATGGCGTACGCGCCGACCCGGTTAAAGAATACATTCAGATATAATATTTAGGATAATATATCGAATGCAATATAAATGATTGCAATCATTTATTAGAATTGCTTTTTTACATTGACATTAGCTGTATTGAGTGAGAAAAGAATAATGCAAAAAACTTTTAAATTGTTTAACTAATTTTTATATTAAATTCTTTATTTAATAATTAATAAATAAATAATATTTAAAAAGTATTGAACCAAAATATTTATATCGATATAAAAAATAATATTAAATTATTATTTTATATAAAAATTGTAATATGAATCAAATGGTCCACTCAACTAGCCTTCAGAATTTATTCTATAAATAAAAAATAATACTTAAATTATTATTTATATACAAATAATTTAATATGAATCAACATGTAGAAAAAAAAAGCATTCAAAATTATAATTTCTAATCAAACAGCAGAGTTAAATAACATACTAATAAAAATTAGTTTACATATATAATATGTGACAAATAATTATTTAGATTTTAGTCACATTGATTTTGGATTGTAGTTGTGTTTAAGGAAAAATTTTATACTAAATTAATATTTACAATTTTTATTAAGTTAATATTCTGAATAGTGGTTTTGTATAACAAAAAAAACTTTTTCTGTCTCTTTCATGAAGGCTTGCATTGGGTAGTTTCGTTTTAATTCCATTAATGTTTATCTGTGTACAATTTATATTTACGGTTTTAGTACTGTGTCTCCAAATTAAAGCTTAGTTAAAAATTGGGTTGAGATATTTCATTGCATCCCCTACGCGTATGCTAGAAATATCTTGGTCCAGCTAGTTTGTACTTGACAATGGTTTCACAACATGTATTTATTGCATTATTGATTGTTTTATCTTAGGTTCGGAAAAGTGTTAAAAACTATTTTGCTTCATCAGCATTGAATTTGATCTTTCATTTGTGAAAGTAGTTAAGCAGACTATTAATAGACATTTTATTGTAACTAAATTTAGATCAGAGTATATGATACATCTGTTATCGACGTATAATGATATAATGATAACAAAAATGGCTTCCATTTCTGGAATACCAGTGGTATAAATAAAATATATAGGAGCATAGGAGAAAGCTAATATCTTTATGGAAATACAGTTTAAATTGCAACTGTTGAAGAATATCGTAAAAAATGTGATAAGATTTTGTGGAAAGATTTTTAAACTACAATACTACTTTGGAATACACAATAAAATATAAATTATAGTTAAACATTTTTTAACGTCTTTATTTTTAACTTTTAAATAATAAATATATTGTATCATATCAGTTTCTTTAAGATGAATATATTTGACTTCTCTTGTAGTTTAAATATCACCGCTAATTGTTATAGTATTTTGCATGCTTTCAACATCTATCAAAAATTGGATAATATTTTTTAAATTTAATCTTATATAATGTATTTTAATACCTCTGTAGTCACTCCTTTTTGTTCATATATTTTACACAACTTCACCAAAATTCTGGCGATACGAGGTCGTTCCAATCGTATACAATGCTGAAGAAACTTAACTAGATCCAGCTGTTTCACAATTGGACAATTCTGAAAAGCAAATTGTTGAAAAATGAAAATTACATATAAACTGGTATAGCATAATTGAATTTCTAACATAGAAATGATATGAGAAAAGTCTTTAAAATTGTATTCATATAATATTGGAGCTTATAAAATAGGAATTTGATTTCGATTCATGGGTAATATTAACTGCATATGTTCAGCCATTGTGAATAAACGAATATATTACCGCTCTCTAACTTTAATTTTCCTTCATTAATTTGACTTAATAATGAAGTCGGAGAATATGAATCAAGAGTTATTTTTAGGTTTATTTCTTTTATTAGTAGAGAAAATTTTGTGCAGGTGAATTACAATAGATCTCAATATTGTTAGTGTTCTATTCTTCTTTCTAATAATAATACAAAACAGTTCAATATATAAGAAAATATAGTTTTACATCAATATTTTTGTTTTGTTAACAATGTGTATATAAAATATTAATTATTTTTTGATAAATTTGATTTTAACGTCAATATGACTAACAGAAACTGTGGTATTTAATAAAGAAGTTTCGGAAAGTAGTGAGGTACAACAATAAAAATTATTTTTAACATATATTATTTCAATTAATTGAATATTTATGTTTCAAGTATTGGCAAATACTCATAATCAGTGGTCTTGGAAATAATTCTTGTATTTAATTATTCGTAAATAATTTTTTGAAACTGCAGGTACCAGGAATCGAACTCGTGCGCTGTCAAATTTTA